TTGTAAATCCTTTATGATTCTACCAAGATCTCCATTTCCACAGTATTCCATGTACAAATGAAGATCTTGACTGGACTTTAGATGCTCTCGATGATAGTATCCGACAATATTTGGATGTTTTAGTGAAGAAAGAATGGCGAATTCGGCTTGTAGTTGCTCTCGTTCTTTTTGTGACATCCGCATGTAGTTAATCTCCTTCCTACATAGGATTTCTCCATTGTTCTTTCTGCGGACCTTTCGAATGATACCAAAAGAACCATGTCCTACAGAATCAGACAGAGTATATTAGCATTGTCTCACTCAAGAGTTGGCGCAACGAGTAACATATTAGATATGAACCACGTTAGTACTTCTGGTACTTTGAAGACTTACCTATCTTCTCCAAAACTTCGTACTTGCTTTCTTCTGTCATGATTCCGAAAGTATTATATTTAAGAAAGGGGAGATCTTTGCATTGATCTAAGTAAAGAAAGCAATTAACATTAGTATTGTTGTAATTTATTCGAGGTTGGCGATGTTTTGTCGTTTTTATTCAAAGTTGATGAAGATGGATTGTGAATTAATTCATTCAGGTTGGTGTTTACTTTTTGGTTGCCCTTCCAACCATTTCACTATTTGATACCAAACTGGAATTGGACGTCACCCGGGGAAATTTGGATAATGCCAGAAGCGGTGAAGGTACGAAATTTGGATGACGGTCGAAACATCTAACTCCGATCCCTTATCCGGATTTCTTTTATCGATAAGCTTTCTTCCCCTCCATGTGCTTGTGTCAAGATCAGTAGCTGCTCAACCTTGCCACAATTTTATATGTTTATCTGTGTTATTATTATACTTTGCCATTCACCATCGATATTCATTGCTGATTACTTCTACACCTTCTATTTCATACTCTTTGCACACACACCTTCAGAATGGTAAAACGGAAAGATGAGCTCGAAGTTCAACTAAAGGATGAGCACCAGTTGATCAAGGAAGGACTTTTGAGAGATGAAAGCCCTCTTGATACTAGTCCCCAATTCCAAGAGCTTTGCGTTGCTTGTCGAATTGGTGATGTCAAGAGGGTTCAGCAAGCAATTACAACTCCTGGAATCAATATCAATGCTAGAGATCCGTTTGATTATACGCCATTGATCTTGGTAAGCCTTATGTCATTCCCATCACCAATTGACCTCACTGACAAATTATCAAGGCAAGTCTTTGTGGACATTACAATGTTGTTCAACTACTTCTGGAAGCTGGAGCTCTCTGCGAACGCGATACGTTTCAAGGGGAGAGATGTTTATACAATGCATTAAACGATCGAATCCGAAACCTTCTATTAAAGTACGAATATTCAAAGTCTAGGGACCCATTACAATCATTCGCTTCTCATATCACTTCTCTCCTTACTAGGCAGACTCCTGAAACTTCAGACATAATACTCAGTGCTGGATCAGAATCATGGAATTTACACAAGATGATACTTTCTGCACGCTCACCATATATGCAAAGAAAGCTTTTGGCTGCCCCAGAAACCAAGTCATGGAAACTAGAACCTTCTATTCCCCCAGAATGTTTTCAGGTTGCTTTTCGATATTTATACATGGGTGAAGTGCCATCAGATCTTGGTCTTAGGTCTAGCACCTCTGTGGACGATGTGCTCAAAGGGATTGATAAAATCAGCAAACATCTTGAGATTGAATCCCTCTGGGAAGGGCTCTTGAGTGGGCGTGATAGGAGAATAGCTCGGCAACGGTATCAAGATGAAGTTTTACGAGCAAGGAATCAGATGGAGACTTGGTATCGAGGGAATGTTTTGAAGTATAAAATACATATCGATACCGTGAAGGCCAAGGATGTGAAGTGGACTAGGAATAATTCCATGTTTGCGGATGTTCTGCTGCAGGCAAACGAAAATATTGTTTCCGATGAGGCTTTAAGTTCTAGACCAGAAACTCCAACACCTAACACAAATGTTTCCTCAAATGGTATTCCTATTGGCCCCTCGAGCTCATTCCCGCAAGAGACATCAATTGCCAATTCACCTCAGAAATCAATACTCTATCCTGCGCACCGCGCTATGCTCATAAGATCAGAATACTTCCAAACGATGTTTAGTTCCTCCTTTCAAGAAGCTCAAGTTACTGATTATTTGCAAATCATCTACGTCGACTGCCCCCCTGCTGTTCTAGAGCTCATCCTCGACTTTCTTTACACCGAGAATGTTGATATTCCTCTTGATCTTGCGATAGATGTTCTTCTTGCAGCGGACATGCTCTTCATTGAGAAACTTAAAACTAAAGCTGCAGTAGTTATAAGTACTCTAGGAAATGGTTCGAGCACACTCGCTGATCGTACACATACCGACAGTGATGAATTAGATGTGGAATTGATTAATCCTTATGATGTCATGAGAGCTGGATGGTTGACAAGAGTCCAAAGACTAGAGGAATTCTGTGCTAGGTACATGGCATATAGGTTGGAGGACTATATTGATGAGCCAGAGTTTGAGGAGTTGATTAAGGAGAGTGCGGCTAGAATTGAAAAGCGACAGGAGACTGACACTATTGAATTACTTGATGAGTATGTCACCCAAATTCCTTTTTTTTCCTACTTTCAAAAATTTGGCTTTGGATTAGAGCATAGGCAAGCTTTGAAACAAGTTTGAAGGCTTTGATCCGATTGAAACACTGTGCATACTGACTGAGATTTCTCTAGCATTCGCTTTTACCTATCCGAGCGTTTCAGGCTCCGATTTGAAGACTCGGGCATTGACGATATGATGGATGAGAATATAAATGAGACCGATGAAGAAAACGAAGACGAAAAGGAAGTAATCGATGATGTTACATCTGCGAATGCTGTGAAGTCTAGCACGGTGGTTGATATCAACCCTACCCAATCCTCTGCCCTTGATCCAATGATGAATGGTCAAATACGGACTCTCAACGGTGAGATTGCAGGTGATGAATTTGCCGCAGATGCTATAAACTACCAAACGTTACTTGGAAAGATAGACAACTTGTTAGAAAGATTGAAGTTAGATGCTTAAACTTTGTAAGAGGAATTGGATATTATTGCTCGTATTTAAGCGAAGTTTGTATATTAAAAAGCATACTTGTATCCTGATACTTTTCACCTTTTGCGTTAGTATCAAAATTACAATCATGTTTTTCCTCAACATTTCTATTATTTTGAAGAGAGTAAATGTAACTGTATGAACAAGGAGTAAATGAATGGCCTCAAGTCATTCATAGCCTACTACAAAGGAGCTAATTCTACAGCAAGGCTTAGTCAAGGATTACTTCTTTCTGCAATTAATTAGCTTCTTGAACAGAATACACATGGACAACCAGGACCTAGATTTTGGGTTGTTCGTCATTCGTATCTTTCTCAAAACAATCGTAACCTGCTCACCGCAATTTTCAATCAGCATCGGGCCTTAACCATACCCCTCTGATCCTCACCTCTTTCATTGACACTCGCACCACATGAACCCTAGATCTTCTGATCCCCAGCCTAACTCCGTGCATCAGAAGCCAATCCTCTCAGAATCTGGAACTGAATTGCCTGTATCTAAATACAAATAATCTACCATCTCAAACCTCCATCCAGACTCCACATATTCAACATCGAACTGATACCACTATCACCTAGAATAACACGGCTGGTATATACATTGTTAAATGAACACGTAATATTCGATTCACAAAAACACGAACAATTCTAATCCTGCAGTTTCTTTATGAAGATAGATACATAATCGTGTCTCCATATTTCATATTTCTTTTGTCATTTCCTGATTCATACCAGATTGTGGGAATCGAACTCTACTCTCCTTTTCTTCTCGCGCATTTACGGTTTGCTCCATATCATCAATATAAGGATATCCGCGGTCTGTGATGAAACGGAATGGGATGGAATTCAGTCTACTCTTAATCAAAAGGGAATGTAATGGTGTCTCTCATAGTTTCCCGTTTAACGGCGTAAGCGGATACACTTTCTGATTTGCTCGAAGACGCGGTCAGTTTTGGCCTTTTCGTTACTTGCTTGTGACTAATTGGTATTTTAAACGATTTCCAACTAGATCAAAAGAATTTGATTCCGAGCTGATTTCCTTCCAGAGTATTTGACCGAAAGGCTAACCTGACAAGCATGTGGTACCGATTCTATGGTTTTCGCCGTCTATTCGGGTGTTTAATCACCCGTTGATGAAGAACCATCACACGTTTTCATCCATTGATCTTGTAAAGAGACAGCGTGAATGTAGAAAGATTCTACTATTGTCCTGAGATCCGGATTGTAAACACACGACACCTGTGATCTTACACGAGTTAACGAGTTAACCCACCAAACAATTTAGTTTAGTCTTTAGCGATTCTTCTCCTAATCGAAACGCTCCACCTAGTCGTACATGCAATAAGTTATCGAGAAATGTACTTAGTAGACCAGATGCGAAAGTTTCAATGGTTGTAACGTGTGGATATCTGAATACGATGCAACACCCAGAAAGAGATCGAAGTCTGAAAAGAATTGAATGATCCGGAGGATCCCAATATGAATACTCACTCATTATCGGATTGCAGCCCCGACTACTATGTGCTTTCAAGCACAGTTTCGAGCGCAGGTTCATGCACCGTTTCCGAAATTTCTATATTCCATTTCCCGAGCCAATAGTATGTCCATGATCTCCTTGCCGTGCTTTACGTTACCCGCCACGAACAGAATCACTTCATCGTCAATCTTAACCGAATTGTAGTCTAAAAGCGACTCTACCATTTTCCTATCCCAGATGGACAATGCAAGATTGATTACACTTGGAGCTATTTTCGTACTCACTTTAAGTAATGCTAGAAGAACATCTCGGCCGTGATGTAAGGCTTGACTCACCGAAAGTGATTCAAATCGATCACTTTCTGCTCATTTAATATAAATCGCCTCTTTAATACGCGATTTAATGAACATTATGATGTCCCCAGTATTGTCATTTGCATGTATGTATAGATTAGGGGAACGAGCTAGATGGTGAACGAGGTCATGGTCATCTCTGCTACTAACAAAACTTTGATAATATTGTTCGAATTCGTGATAATCGTTTGCATGCCGAGAAGCAGATTGTTTCTCTTAACAGGACCGCATTCGTCAAGTCCATCAAGGACTATGGTTGCAGGGTTGGATTCTAACAATTCCAGAATAATATTAACCGTTTCTTCGAGACTGAGTTTCTCCGGCGTTCGTCCTCGGGCTTCCTTCCTCCGAGCAAGGTGTTTTTTCGACACAGGTTCCCTTGTTGGGGTCTCCGCATCGAATGAGCACAACTGCTCTAATACATTTCTCAGTATTTGTGTTGGATCAGTCCTTTCAGGCTCATTGATGGTTCGAGCACAATAGAAGTATGCAATGGGTGCAGAGCTGGGATGCTGTTGGGCTCGATTTCTAAGATATTCGATAACATGGCATACAAGCATGCTCTCCCACTGCCAGGGATTCCATGTAGCCACAGAATGGAGGATGTGCTAGCCTCCATCCATTCCTTGGATTCCTTCTATCTCAACAGCCAATTATAAGAACCAGATAATAAGTGCGCAATTTGTCCCGGTGATGGCTAGAGCCTGGTATCATTGTAAGCCATTTAAAAACTTTCACTTGCTTCTGTTCCTTGAGATTATCTTGTACACTAGATAGATCTTCAGCAATGCGCTGCACTGGATCCTTGAGATCGTTCAAGGCTTTGACCAAATGGTGTTCGATTTTGTTCAATCTGAGTTCTGCAGACGACATGTCTTGTTGAATGGTCTGTGTGAGCTTGTGCAGTTCTCCAAGACGTTGTCCTAAGTCATTTCCCAGCAGCTTCGTTGATGAAATCCCGTTCTCAAGGCTCTGTTTTGATGTCTGGCATACATCCATAGATTGCGTGAGACCATCCATGTTTCTGCCAATCTCCACGCCTTCAAGGATAGCAGCATTCGAGTTGGTGTCGCTGACAACAGCCTGCGATCTAATTAATAGCCGAATCTTCAACCACAGCGGTGCATCATTTACCTGCAATAGAAACCTGACAACAGCCCATGGTAAACTCGCGTGGACTGGATCATATTGCACAAATATATCCCCAACAGACTTGAACTTTTCTATCCAGATTGCAAGTTTAACAAATATGTCGCGAATAATGATCACTTGACCATTTTTCCTTTCCCACTTCCATTTTCTTCCTTGAATTCCTGCTTTTGCACTAAATACAAAATTTCTACCAAAATTTGTCGCCTTTCTAAGCCCGCGGCGACGAGTGCTGAAGTATTTGTAAACCGGACTCGTTCAAGAGCCTCATTCCACAGGTCTTCAGATTGTCTGTCACGTCAGTAGATGTCCCTCAATAGGAGATGCAATCATTGCCTTACGTTTTGACATGAGCTACAACTCCAGGTGTGGTCAATTCGACTATGATTTTGATGTTCTTCGACGAATGATCTCCCTGAAATCAGGTGCGTTGAGGCTCTGCCCATCAGGATCCAGCAGTGCAGTATTGATTCAATAAAAAAAACTCGATCTTTACTTAACCGTAAATTTTTTAGATGCACTGGTAATGAAGCAGAAATGGTCAAGAATCATTTCGTGGCATCAGAAAATTCGGTATGTTAGCTAGATCTAATTTTGCTAGAAGATGCCAATGAACTGCTGCATGTCAGCTCTGCACAGCCTTCCAAAGGCAAGTAAGTATGCCTCGGGGAGCCGCCCCTATCTAAAGTCACCAGTGACAATGGTGTGGTTGAATTGAAGACCGATATGTATGAAGCATTTAATATCGACTTCAATCGTTCGTGGAGGGGTGGTGACCACCCATTTTTACACCTTTTCATTGGGCCGATTGCAGTTTATCAAGTAAGACCATCTGCGACGGCTAAGTTGCAATTCAATACACATGGTTGGAAATATTCTAGTGTTCCTTCACTACGCAGTATGAATTTACTCAGGTAGGTTAGCAGGGTTGACCATGCTCAAAGCTTATCAACCCCACCGTTGGAATTCTGTATGCCACCCGAGCCGCCATACCTTAGGAATCATCGGATTCATAGTTCAGAGTAAGGTTTTTGGTGCTGACTCATAATTCACTATGACTCGATTCCGAACACCATTAATATAAAGGATTGAGTCTCTCTTATGAATAGAGACCGGTGCCATGAAGCCATTCAATATACCTTCAGGAAATCAATGGCACAATACGCAGCTCAATCCGAGCGTCTTTGGTTAGAGCCAATGACCATAGAGAAACATCTCGATGGCTATCACAAAATGCTCTCTGATCCGGGAGCGAAGTCATGGACGTAATATGAGCCCTTTCAATCTTACCCACTCTTGATCTCCAAGACAGGTCTAACATTCAACCAAACTTAGAAAACCAAGCGAGTCCCTCGCGGAGAGTAAAGCATATATGGTTGAAAGACTACCGAACCCCGAAAAGCCGTGGATTGAGAACTATGCAATTCTACTTCGGCCGACAACACCTACCCCCGCCGACCAAAAGCCTGAGCTCATTGGCGCAATTGGAACGATAAGATTCGAAGCTGGGCACGGCGCAGAGGTTGGTTATGGTATACACACTGGTTACCATGGCAGAGGATTTGCTACTGAAGCTATGAAGCTATTTTTGGGGTTATATTGGAGTAAAGAGAGTACGTGAAAACAACGCCAGCCATGATCCCCTAAAAATCTAACTGAATATAGGAGAAGGGGATTGGAACACATTGGTAGCGGCTATAGACCCCGAGAATGTTGTCAGTCAGAGAGTTGTAGAGAAGGTAGGCTTCAAAGAAGGAGACCTTCAGGATGAAGAACACGAAATGTGGACCAAAGGGGGCAAAGAAAAGAAACTTGTGAGGCACAGAGAATGGTTGCTATCGAGACCAGTGTGAATATTATTCTACCATTCTCCAGTGGAAATGCTAGTTCATGAAGCCTTCCTCAAACCCCAAAAATCCGGCGACTCAATTGACCGTTGAAGTCGACTATTTGCAAATAATTTCCACCTTATCGCTTACGTTGAGTAATCTCAGAAATTCTATACTATCCATATAATTAATCGGTGCCGCGAGAATTTTGTTCCATTCAACGTTCGCCGTCATTGTTTTATAATAAATACACTAGCGTGACTGATATATTTAAACCCCAACTTCATCAAGGTGGGATTACAAGGGTGTAGAATATGCTGACTGAAACAAACAATCAGGTAGGTATTTCTCATTATATGAGTCACTGCGCAAGTGGGTTGTGCATCTCATATCAAACGAATATACGACCCCTTTCGCTGTTCATAAGACAAAGATTGACAGACTCCCCATTCGCATATTTCTTCTTACTTCACTATCCAGTATCACTATCAACTATCAAAATCATGTCGTCACATACAGTAAAATCTGATCGTCTAACCCTTGAACCTATCAATCTTGACAAGCATCTTCATGGCTGTCACAAGATTCTTTCCGAGCCTCGTAACGCTGAATGGTCGTAAGGCTCCCAAGCTAAGCTGTAAAAGTCTATAGTGAACCCCGATCTTAAATGACCTGTGTAGTACCCGAGCACCAAATACTCAACTCGAGCAGACAGAAGAAAGGATCTTGGAAAGTATGTCCAGCGTCCAATTTCCAATGTGGGCAATCATGGCCCCGACTACATTGTCTATTTCAGTACCTGTGGCGGATGAGACAGAAGGGCAAGAGATGGAAATGGTGGGTATCATCGGAATATCCCATAAACCAGAGAATGTGGGGTATAAGATTCATCCAGACCATTGGGGTAAGGGGTACATGACAGAAGCTTTGAGATTGTTTGTAGAGATGTTCTGGACTCTTGAAGGTTTGTCACATTTGCTTGTTAGAATGTTGAAACTGGAACTTTGCAATGGAGAAAGGACTAAAAACTATTATAGAAAAGAAGTCTTTGCCGCAAATTATAGCGGCTTACACTCCTGGTAATGATGCCAGTGCTAGAGTGCTCGAGAAAGTGGGTTTCAAGACTGGGAAACTACTTCGTGGAGAGATTGAATTATGGTTTAATCGTGGTCAAAATCGGAAAAAGCGATATTCAGTGCATGTACATAGATCGTCCTGGGTCTAATGAATCATTAAACTGTCAACATTTTCTCTCTTCTCTGGATTCAAGGCTTTGATGTCTTCGACTCGATATTCGAATCGGTTTCAAGTATATGGTGGTCCTTTCTATTTCATGTCTGCAAGCTAATCATACTTTCCGCCATCGAACCAAACAGGGCTCAGAATACATGATATGTACTTCCACGCATACCAGGTTTCCTTTCCAAATGATCCCATCACGCTTTGAACACAGCATTCACCATGATTCTTACTCCTTTGGCATCCATTTTTGGGCATGATGATATGATAAGCATGCAGATATACTGTATCACTGTCATCCGTCTCAAATAACCGCATCTCAAATATTCGTACAAGCTTTGTTGTCGGAAGGTATAGCTTGACGCGTGCAAACTCGATTCCTAAACATTTCCGACCGCTTTTACCAAAGGCGAATTGGAATTTGGATCACTCGCAATTCTCTTCCCGTAAATAGTGTTCCGAACCAAGTTCCAAGGGATCTGGAAAAACATTTTGAGCGGTTCAAACACCGAGAATAGTTATGCTGATCTGAGTACATGGAGGAATGATGCAGGCGTGCCCGCATGCTTGCTAGATATGGGAACTTTTCAAAGTGTAGAATATCACATTTCGTGAAGAGCAGGCTTGGAGCACCGCGCCTTCTCTTATTAGGGGCATAGCTTGCTATTGTGCCCACGCCATTTCCTAGTCGAAGACAAGGCAGCTGATATTCATAATTGTCCCTATGAGACGTTATTGATGCATAAACACTGTAAAAGAACCCAAGATCCTGTATGTAGAGCTCGTCTGAAATGACAAAAATCGTGGGCCTAATCCGTGCTGTTACATTAACAATTGAACTCAACGGCATGATTAAAACTACCATATTACTCGTGAAAATCTTGGATCTTGAAAGCGTGTTTTCACTGATGAACCACATCGAAGTAAGACTCATACCACCAAGTAAGCGCAGGAAGCTTTGGCCCTAGTATATGTGCTAGAGGATGAAGATAGAATCGATGAAAAGCTTCACCGATAGTGAACACTAATGATAGGCCTACTACCGTCTCAATTTTTCTTGACAAACGTCATCTACTTGATCTCTTAGTTCAGAAACGCAAAACTGTTTCTATTATTTTCAAAACGTTGACACAGAATAGATATGCAGATGATTGCAAGGAACCCGAATATGAACTATGAAAATATCAAAACTAAGAGTAAAGGTGACAACGAATTGATAAAAGGAAAACAGAAACGTAAGTTCCATCTCTCAGACATGTAATACTCATCTCACTGTTGGAGAACTGAAACCGCTCAGGGATTTGGCATCGTGGTTGAGCTTCCTACTGAGAGAGCATACCGTGTCGTCTAATGAAAGCTATACGACACGACCAGTTTCTCTTACACTTTGATTGTCTTTTTGGTGGCTTGACTTGACCATATCGTCAACATAGGCACTGCAACCTTGATATAGAAACCTGTGCCTTGTATCTGAGGCATTAAAGCCTACATAGCGTCAGAAACTAAACCGAGGCACTTGATTAATGTTAATGTGAAGCTTCCAAAATTGTATAGAGTTCATTGATCCAGAGATCGAGGCATTCTTTTTATAATAGATTGGCTCAAGATGGCTGCCAGACTGCCAATTCAAGCATTTCGTTCATACAAAAGCATTCTTCAACAACCACCACACTTTTCTCAAACATATCGACATCCGTTCCGATCACAATTTCTCTCAAAATGGTCAGCACGAGCATATTCAACACCTCCACCACCACCACAACCCATAAATCATAACATCAATGCTACCTCCGAGCCTTTATCTGAATCAATACCCCAGTACCGCGATTTGCGATCTCAATTCCCTTCTGGGTCCGTTGCGCCAACGCCCTCACCTTCATCTCCCAAACGAAAACGATCCCTCCGTCCCACAATCTATGCCTCTCTTTTCCTCCTAATCGGACTTACAACTGGACAATATGTGTCGCTTGTCCTATCTCCCCCCGCACTCCCCGAGCCTTCTTCTCCCTCGGACGAACTCATGATCTCTTGGTTACACGCGCAGGCCTCAAAGATCCCACTGGTACAATCTCTAGCTGAGGATCCCGTCTGGCAATCTTGGGATGCCTATTCCACATTCACACCTGAAGAGCGTCCGCACCGATTTACTACTGGTCCATTGGGAGGATCTAGATCGATAGGCGGGTACCAAAGAATTTTTTATAATTCTACCACAGGAGAGTTTATATCGATTGTATACTTAGGAGGAGCACTAGGAGGATGGCCTGGTGTGGTGCATGGAGGTCTTATAGCGACGATTATGGATGAATCACTCGGGAGATGTGCGATCAGACAACTGGCCGCGGGAACAGGCGTCACTGCCCAATTGTCGTTGCAATATTTGAAGCCAAGTGTTACCAATGCATTCTACGTAGTGAGATGTACACCAGTCATAGGAGAGGAGGGAGGTGGAGAAAGAAAGAGATGGGTAGAAGGACGTTTGGAGACATTAGAAGGGAGAGTTTGTGTAGAGGCAAAAGGATTATTTGTCGCACCGAAGAATTATAAAACGAGGGTAATCACGGCGGGCTTTTAAGAAGCTCCCGGAATATGGAATGTTTAGATGGAATGCAGGGTGTTCATGAGCACTGACTGGCTACGCTTTGAAACAACCACAGGTTGCCAGAATTCGAACCAATTCATCGATATTTTGAGAGTATTCTCGAAGCCCATTTTACCATTCTAAAATACTCGTAGGTCGGAATCAATGATAAGTAACACCAAACTACCAAGCAATATTAAGACTCCACAAAAGATTCAGTGTCTTCGCTATATCAAATTGATCTATTCATCTAAGAGGAAATAGTCTTCTACTCTCATTTACTAGATTGCTGGTAAGTTTATCATCAATCAAAGAGAAAACCTGTCACGTTCATAGATTGATCAATTTGTAACCGTTTTTTTGTTCTCCACACTATTCACTCATGCCCAAGCTCAAGTGATAGTGGTGAAGCAGAGTCTCTTTACGATTACTGAAAGGGCTATCCCTTTCCAATCAAGAGTTTTCCTTCCCACAATATGCACGACAAATACCTTGTTGTCGGGAAACTCGCGAAGGTTTCTACTGCAAGGCTTAGTACAAGTATCCACAAGAAGCAGGTACAATTAAGTCTCCAAGACAGCTCATCATGATAGCGATCACGAACTGCAGAATAGTATGAAGAGTCTTCGGGAGAAGACCCAGATGATTATTCTATGTCTGGACACCTTCAAATTCGAATCTATCAATGGTGCTAACAATAACCACATTTGTCTTGTTATGGAGGGATCCGGACATCTTCCTGAGAATATGTATTTAGTCTCGTTTATCGATAGAACATGGTTCAAACCCCTCAGGCCATGTCTCAGAACAACCAGGGCAAGTAGAGATATCTTTCTACCTTGATTGGAACCAATTTGGAGCTTGATTCCATTGAAATGGTTCACATTACGGTGCGCAAGACCGTATATTCACCACAAGGTCACATATGCCTAGAAGTAATGAAAGTCAATCCATCCGCCATCCAGTCTAATATTTGGGTTCTAGTGTGTCTAGTAAGCACATATTCAACGCGCCCTGGAAGTAGTCGTTAGATTTGCGAAATTGGGATATCAGGGGAGTTTTCATTTGGGACGAGAATGTTTGGTAACCTCTACTGGGATTTTCATGTGGAGGTGGAGAAGCAGATTGGGATGTGGAGAACTTTGTGTGGAGCAGCGATGCTTAGAACGTACAGCATAGATGATCGATGGAATCAATTTTCGCTTTTATCTTCTCGTGAAGTGCACATTTTCTATTAGAAATCTTCACGAAGTCAAATGTTAGTAGTTTACTTGCAGGTCATAACAGCTGTATCAACCGGAAAACAATGCCTATATATGGCTAAGAGTTCTTATTTTGTAGTGGATGTTCCCTTATATAAGGTTATGTGATAAAGAATGTGGTTAGAGCTGCATTGCGTCGACGAAGAATTATTCGAGAACATGAAGCCTGCTTCCATTAATGATTGCCAGGTGAAATCACAGTCTGTCCCCAGAATCTTTCATATTCCCAAAGTCTTCCTCTCAAACTCTGAATTACTTTGCACCCTCCAATGCTCCAAAGACGCTTGCCAAACTAGAGTTGGAGGCTACTCCCGGTGGTAAATTCGCATTGCCTGTGCTATTCGACTTTTTCGCTCCACCAGTGCTGTTCCCCCCGGATGCACCATTCAGTGATCCAATGAGCGCGGCCAAGCCATCGGTTCCGTTTTTGTTGCCACCATTAGCGGTCTGTCCTCCTGCACCTTGTTGCGGTTGATTATTGGCACCCGATGCCACGTTGATACCGCTTTCTCCTCCGACGTTTGTAGAACCATCGGGCTTCTTCGTTATTCCTGCGTCTCCGCCAAGATTGGTTGATCCATCGGCACCAACTTTATCGGCTATTAGTATCATGTCAAAAATGGAGAGACCAGACTAACCTGTGATACCCGCTGATTCCCGCTGCACAGCCGGGTTGGGAAGTGAATGGATGCCAGCAACCAACAGAGAGATGAAGACAGTAGAGAACTTCATAATTGAAAATTATAATGATTATAAGTAAGTATGTCAAGGAAAGACGATTAGCCAAGTCTATTGGCAATGAAATAAGGTATCAAAAAAGCTTATTAAATGAGTGTTTTTATGAAAATTGTACTTAGAAATGAACCAGTCATCCAAAAACAAAATTAAAGAGCGAGAACCTAGAACTGTCCAAGAAATATAGAGCTTGGGAGAAGTTCTGTGATCATATACCAAACTCGAGTTCTAAAAATAGCCATCGAAATTCAAACCCACCATTCTTCGTCTTGCCGATCTAGACTTCTGGAGTAGTTTAGTTCGCAAAATAATCCCAATTTTAACATCTGCCAGATGCAAAGCTTTCTGATAGGATTCCAGAATGTAATAATAGACGGAACGTTTGTGTGTTGTGGCTTGCCAAGATGT